TTTTTAGCTTTTAATTTCATGCACACTTATATTTAAGACCCACATCATAATATATTTCATGCATATACACATTCATAAAACACTAACAAATATATGTTGATAGCGTGCAAAAGTTTTAACATATTAAACTCCCCAGATTGGGTCAGATTAAGCACAACTACATTATCTTAGTGGGTAATACAATCCTCCCATCATGAGAAAAATATCATTCTTGATCTTTTAAATCTCACAGCAAGAAAATATATTAGAGTACAACTATCTCATCTTAGATTCCTTCTCAGAAATAAGTTCTCTTTTATTTCTCTTCTTTTATTGCATTTTGACCATTAGGATTTATTTATTTCTTATCATTTTAACATCATATCCCAAAATCCTCATATATTATTATTTATAACTCAATTTTTTATGTATCACAACTTCAACCATATATGCTCGATTTCCAAAATAAGACACCCATTTCATCATAGATGTCATTTATAATACATTATAAATATCAAACATGTGCTTTGACAACAATAATGTACAGGCAGACAATCCAATTATTTCAAATGGCCCAACTCATAATGGACTCGGCTTCCCTTTTTACCCAAATTTATTGATACCTTTTATTCGTTCGATCTTCATATATATGAAATCTTGAACCTAAAATTCCACAACTCAGTGTTTTGGATCATAGTATTATGTATAGCTATCCTAGATAGCTTTTAATCTATCTTTGATCAGATAGATTTTTAGTGGTATCATACTCTAAGGCTAGCCCAATCAAACTCTTTTGTCCCACTCTGTCCAAGATAGTGGGGTTCTACATCTTCTACCATAAAGATCTTCATAAAGAGTAATGCCTATACTTGATTAGAAACTATTATTATAGAAAACTTTCATTAGGAAATGTGATCCTCCCAACTACCACTAAAGCTTAGAAAGCAAAACCTTAGAAGGTATTCCAGAAGTTGGATAGTCCTTTCAGATTATCTATTGGTTTATAGATAGAAAGCTATACTGAATTGTAGTTTTGTACCCAAATCTTGTTGAATTCTTTTTCAAAGCTTAGAGGTAAATCGGTTATCTCTATCAGAGATTATCATTCTTAATACTCTATGTAGTCATAGAATGTCTAGTACATATTTTTTGTGTTAATCTATTTATATAATCATTTTGCTAGACCATAATGAAGAGCATAGACTTTGTTATATGATCCACTGCCATCTAGATGGCATCATGTCCTTACCTTGATCTCGAAAATCACATAGCGAAATCCATTGTCACTTCTTCTCATTTCCATTTGGAAGAGGACATGGTTGCATAAGACTTATCAATCACTGATTTTTTACTTTCACTAACTAGCATGCCTCATATTAACTAATAAAATTTATCACATCCTTTCTTCAATCCAGGCTACCTAAATATACATTTCAAACCCTTATACACTGGGTGATTAAACTTTGCACTAGAATATATTATCTTTAATCTCCATTGCCTTTCCTTATAAAAGATGATATCATAATCATATCATCATAGTTTAGGTCTCTTACTAGACTTGATTTGATCAATCAACTTAATATTTTGCATAAGAATTTTGAGCTTTCAGGTTCTTTTCTTGTAAAGACAATTGTATGATAATCCGAGCCTTTACACTTGAACCTTAACATGAAATCTTTCTGTACCTAATAAGATTGTCAAAATTAGAGCTAATGTCAAACAATCCTTCAAATTCTGAAAGCTTGCCTCATAGACATGTGTCTAAATAAAAGCTAATGACTTCCGAGTCTGTTTCATTAGAGGAGCATAAATTTGAGAAAATCCTTTCATGAACAACATATAATAGCTGACCATGCCTAAGAAGCCACATACCTCATATACAAAAGAAAGCTTTGGCAAATCAGCAACAACTTAAACCTTTTAAGGATCCATAAAAATACCTATAATACTAACCACCTCCCAAAAATGTAATACTCTTTGGGCAAAGTTTGTACTTAGAAAATTTTGCAGAAAGTTGTGTCGTCTTAAAGTCTCTGTCACAGTGTTATTTAAAATGTATAAAGATGATTATTGTTGTACATCAAGATTAAATCAATTATATTTCTTATAAAAAGTGAAGCCAGCATTTTATTTGAGGCTTTAAGAATTTATAGTTTACTCTACTTTTAAAGGATTAATTAATTGTAATTTTTAATTTTAATATTATATGTAATATTTAAAATATATATAATTATTATTATAAAATGTATTTTAATTATTAAGATAATTTTTTAATTTTTTTATTTACACATAAATAATATTTTTATATTAATAAGTATATTATTAAATTTAATAAAAATATTACAAATTGTTAATTGAATAATATTATTAATTGTGATAATTCATTTCATTGATTTATTCAATTTTATAGATCATATAAATTTTAAAATGAAAATAAATTTTTATTAAAAAAGCTAAATATTTATAAAATATTGTTATTATTAATATTTAAATTTTATCATAATATAATATATATAATATGTATTATTATTAAAGAAATGTATTTTTAATTTTTTATTTACACATAAATAATATTTTTATATTAATAAGTATATTATTCAATCTCAATAAAAAATATTACAATTGTTAATTTGAATAATATTATTAATGTCGATAATTCATTTCATTGATTTATTCAATTTTGTAGATCAAATATTAATTTTAAAAACGAAAATAAAATTTTTAATTAAAAAGCTAAATATTATATAAATATATGTTGTGATAATATTTAAATTTATCAAATAATGATAAATAATATTTGATGAATGATATCATTTGAAAAAAATAATAATCAGAATTCATTTACATTTAATAATAGGTCTGTACATTCTAATTATTATTACTAACTAATATAAAAATAATAATTAAATCAAAAAGAAAATTAGGTTCGAAGCCAAACGAAGTTTTCGCTTACCATAATTTATAAAAAAAAAAAAGGAAAAATAGAGAAAGAAAAATGAGGATTTATAAGACTTTGACTCGTTTACCTGAACAAACAATTTTGAACGAGGTTTAGATTATTTTGGATGGCTTTTTTTTTACTATTTTTAGAGTAAAGTTTTAAGTAAAAAAAAATTTATACTAAAATTGCTAAAATAATAATAATAAGCCCTCTCCGACCAGATCTTAGTTCATGGAAATCGCCTCTTATCCTATTCCGGCCTGGCTTACTTTTCTGTCTTTGTTTTTACTATTCATTTTCGTTTTAATCGGTCCTTCGTTGATTTTTTCAAATTCCAGACTTTTCTGTTTAGACCTTGCTCACATATAATATTAATATTTTCTTCAAACAAATTAAATATAAAAAGTAACCATATCTGCTTATATGGATTTGGTCAAATTTAAGCAGTTGTTAACACTACAAAACATTTATGTTTGATTAATTATTTTAAAGATTTTCAATAAGGATTCAAAAGAGTTTGGGTTCAACTTAACTAATTAATCGAGTTTAAAATTGCAGTCGAGTTCAAATCTTCAAATTAGAGCTCAAACATATGTATTTGAGTTCAAGTATGATCATTTGTTGTGAAAGAGAATACTTGCCGGTCCATTAACCACTGCGGAATATCATTGCAGCGCATTGCAATTACAACGATCATGCAGCGGTCCTAAAATCCTAAAACCGTTGTAAGAAAAAAAGTAGCGATTATAACCACCGGTATAGGTCAAAATTTTCGCTATGATGGCCCTATTTTTTCGTAGTGCTAGATGATGAAGATTTAAGTTGTTGTCATGTGATGATATGAAGATTAAGAAAATATTAAATAAATAATAAAAAATCACCATTTGAAATATTATTTTAATAAATTTTTAACAAAATTATTAAATTTTTATATATTTTATATTAATATTTTTTAAACAAATTTGTTGAATATTTAGGGAGCTGAGCCAGAGCTAGCTTTAAGCTTTACTCATTTGCTCATCAAGCTCAACTCACAAGCCTTTTATTGGCTTGACTCATTCACATTCCTAATATCCTACATAAATCTATCATTTTATATCTAATGAACTTATAATCCAAAATGTTAGATCAAAATATGTCTGTGGGTGATACTCAATCTTACTTATAGGCATGTTTTATGAGTATTAGCCGGAAAACCTATGAAAATGTGCAAAGAGAGAAAAATAGAGAGGGGGAGA